TACACTATAGCAGGCAGGTAGCTCAGTGTGGCCTGTGGTGGGGACACAGGCCCAGGAGCTGACAGATGGTGTGGAGCAGTGCTGGGGGTGCCCATCCATCCCCATCTCCTTGTGCCAACCTGGAAGTTCATCATGGATAGCATCAGGGGTGCTATGACACACCCCACTTCTTCCTTCCTGGGCCCTACAGTAATTGTTCTGTCATTTCTTAGAACATAGCTCTTAAAGCAAGCAAGAAGCAAATTAGCCTGATAATTTTTATTTCTACTTTGTTTAGATGATCTAGAATTTTTAAAAAAGAAAAAAAACCACAGGGGGTTTAGACACGCTGAATGTCCTGCCAGGCACGTGTCACTTTGTGTTAGCTGAGTGTCTTCTGCCACCCTCAGCCAAGTGCCCACAGCGGTATGTCAGCCAGATGAGGCGTGCATATTCACTCTTCTGGATCATGGCAGCACCCTGGTGGGTGCTCCGCTTGGTTGGCAGACAGGGCGAGGGTGAAGGGAGCTTCGCTGTGACTCCCCCACAGCCAGTGCTGGCCTCGAGGCTCAGGGCTGGGCCGGCCCCCCGGGCATGGTGCTCGCACTTGGTCTGTCAGCCCTGGGACATGCTTCCCGGCCAGCTCCAGGCAGCATCTCCCTGAGCATGCGCAGCAGCTTCCACTTATCTCTTTATTCACGCTCAGACTGTCCAGTCCAGTGTTCTCAATTGTTCCTTCTAATTTTATCAAGATTTATATGGCCTTGGTCTCTGTCAGCAATTATTTTGAGAAGAAGCGTGTCCATAGAGAACGGGAATGAGGGGGTATCTGTCTGTCTGCCATGGGTCTGTGTGCACCCCTTTCTCAGGGCCTCGTGCTGGGCCATCAGGAGTGATGGAGGTCACATCAGCATTAGATCCCCTGACAGCCTCGGGGGAGCCAGTAGGGACAGCACTGCAGAGCCCTGAGCCAACAGGCTGTCTATTCCTCAGAGGAGGAGCACAGAGGCCCAGAGGTCATGAAAGATCCTTCTCTAGAAGATGTTATTGTAGTTCCCAAGACTTCCATCTGCACTTTGCTTTTCTGCCTCTTGTCCACTGAAACGGATGGCACGTCTCACACTGGTTGAATTCTTACTGCCTATTTTCTTGAAAACCCAAAATATATTTATTTAATATATTCATCACAGGGGCTCAACCAGAGACTAAATTTAAAAATAAATAAAACAAGTATGATACCATTGCTGAAGATACAGAGTCCTATAGAGAAATCAAGGAAAGGACAGACCATCAAAGAGAAAAATAAAAAGACTGCACAAGGGGAGAGGCTGGACAGCCTGGGTTGGGGCTCTTGGCTGGAGACCTGCTGTGCGTAGGTTTCTTGCAGATACTTCTTAAAGGCTGTGGGGTTTTTCCAGAGATCGGCTGTAGTGTGTTAACGGGCTGTCGATGTTGGGTTCTCATAGCAGGCTCTGGATGGAGAGCAGAATGGTCCTGACGTCGTACTAGGCAGACCGTTTGTCCTTTGGGATGTCCAGGCAGATGTTACCCTGGGTGTCCACAGTGGGGTGGTAGCAGGGTGTGGGCGCATTGTAAGGGAGCCACTGGGGAGGGCTCATACCGTAGGTCTTCACATATTGTGCCAGCTGCTCCATGGATGGTCCCCACCCATCTGAAAAAGTTGTCTGATTCAGGGAAGGCAGAAATTCCTTTGTCACCAGACATCATGAGGGTCATCAGTTCTTGCTGTAACTTCTTGCCCATGGGGCTCTGGGTGGTGCCCCTGCTGGATTTGGCTCCTTTATGGGTGGCGGCGATGCTGGTGGCAGCTAGGTCACGGTTCTGGGAGGCCATTCGGGTGGCGTTGACAGAGACACAGGAACTCAGAGAATGCGACTGTAACTCCCTCACTGCCTGTTTTGAGAGGAGTCATTTCTAAACTGCCTTAGGGTCCCTGTGCCAATGCAACACCCCCTTGAAGAGACAGTCCTCTAACCTTCTCAGGGTCTGCGAGGCTGGAGGAAGCCCCCACTTGGTGATGCTCCCGTGGGCAGTGCCCAACCCTTCACCCATGTTCCCTCATGGGCCCTTTGGATGTGCTTGGTCTTTCTGGGCATATTTCAGTTCCCTGCTCAGGGTTGGCCCAGTGTGCGCGAGCCCACCCTGCCAGGCCCTGTGTCAGCCTCTGTGCTTGCTCGGCAGGGCCTGATGCACTCCAGCGGCCCTGTGGGCCGGCACCGGCAGCTGGTCCTGGTTCTGGAGGGGGAGCTCTACCTCATCCCTTTCGCCCTCCTGAAGGGAAGCTCCTCCAACGAGTATCTGTACGAGCGTTTTGCCCTCATCGCTGTCCCTTCCATCCGTACCCTCGGCCTGCAGTCCAAGGTAAGGCTCACAGAAGACCTGTGGGTGCTGCACCCTCTGCTCCTCAAGGAATGGTCTCTGGCCAGACTGGGCTCCAAAGTGATAAAATGTGATCTCTTCAAACTGTTAATTGTATAGCTTGCAGTGGGGTAGGATGATTTTAGAGTAGATGTGTCTGAAGGCAGGGGCACAGCCCTCCTGACCCCTCATGGCTCTTTGCTACCTCAGGAAGCCACAAATTAGGTCGTTTCTCTCTAAATTTCTTTTCTGTGACATCAAGGTTGTGAACTAGGAAGGCACTAAGTCAGGCTTGAGGCCCAGGCCGAGTATCTGAGGAAGCTGGTTACCTACTGTCACGCAGGACTCCCAGTAAGGCGCTTGGGCACAGCCAGTGCCACACTCACCCCGCCCTAAGCTGACTTCTGACTGGGTGTCGAGTTTACCCAGTGGAGGGGGCCATAGGCAGGGATGGCAGACAAATAAAATTAGTGTCAATGGGAAAGAATCCCAGAGGCTAACAAAATAACTGAAAACAAGAGGTGGCTTTCAAAGGACAGGCAAAAACTTAGGTCTCATTGAGCAAAAAAAAAAAAAATCATTTTGGGAAGAAACATCTGGGAAGATCAAGAGGGCGACAGTGGGCCATCTACAGAGTCACAGGTCTTACTCCACAGCCACCCTTGGCCCTGCCCAGTGATTAGAGAGCTTTTCCAACCCACCTCGAATCCTCTTCTTCTCCAACTCGGAGACCTGAAACCCTGGCTTCCTTCTGGCCCTTCGCAGTCCCGATGCTCCCTCCCCACCCGGCCCTGCCCTTGCAGCCTCCCCGCCCGTTCCAGCTGCAGGACTGTTTGCACCACCAAGATCTGAACTGCTCCAGCTTCTCTCTTGAAAATCTCCTCCAGCTGCCAGCTGCTCTCAGAGCCCCTCAGACCACCAGGCGGGGCTTGGTCAGACAGACCTCCTCCCTGTGGGCGGGATTAGGAACCCAGACCCCAGGCCGGGGTAGGGATGGTTCCCATGGAACCTGCCTTGGCCTCTGTTGACCTTGGTTATTAGCATAGTGCAAACCAGGTCATGGGGCAAAACCCCCTTGCCCCAAGGGGTTTTGGAGGTCTTAGTTCTGACTTTTTTTTTTTTTTTGCTGAATTGTACCTTTCTCATGGGACAGAGTCAGTTCAAAGTGAAAGAAATTATTTTCTCCGAGTTTTTCTTATGCCCTTGGTTGACTGAATCCCAGATGGCCTGGCTGGACACTTCCGCACAGGGTGCCAGCTCACCACACCTTCTGCCAGGAGCACCCTGGGATCAGAGATTGCCCACATTGAAAGAGCTTCATGTTGGTGACAACAGTGAGCTGGCTGTTTGTCAGTGTCATGAGGGGATGGAAGGTCCTGTTTCCTGACAGACACCCACCAGGCATTTCTCTTGGGGATCGCTGCTCTAAAGGGCTTAAACTGGCCCTGTCTCGCCTGAGGTTGACTTGTTTTTTTACACGTTTTAAAGCCACTCTCCAAGCCCTGACCCATCAGGAATGGGGTTCCCCTTATTTAGGGGTACACAGGGACAGGCAGGCACCACAGACCCTCACCTCCTACACGTTCTCTCCCATCAATGCCCCCTCCCTCAGCCCTCCTGGGGCTTGACTTACAGGAAGGGCCTTCCTACCATCCAGTTCTGATTATTTTCAATAGTTTGTCATAACAAATGTGATTCTCAGTAAGACGTGCACCTGTGTCAAAAGGTGTTGAAAATTAGAGTGAACGAGGCTATTGGGAGAGCGGGTGACGTCTAGTTAGACCCAGCCCTGACAGAAGAGCTGGCTGGCCCTGTGCTCCGGAGAAGCCCACGGCTCTGTGGGCCATGGCCAGGCAGCCTGGCTGGTATGACAGTGGTGTGTTTGTTCCTCCCCCCTAGTCTCACCTGAGGAAGACCCCACCCAGCTACTCCAGCTCTACGTCCATGGCGGCTGTCATTGGCAACCCCAAGCTCCCGTCAGCAGTGATGGACCGGTGGTTGTGGGGGCCGATGCCATCAGCCGAGGAGGAAGCCTACATGGTGTCCGAGCTGCTGGGTTGCCAGCCCCTGGTGGGCAGTGTGGCTACCAAAGAGCGGGTCATGAGTGCCCTTACCCAGGCCGAGTGCGTCCACTTCGCCACCCACATCTCTTGGAAACTGTCGGCCTTGGTCCTCACACCCAGCGTGGACGGCAACCCTGCCAGCAGCAAGAGCTCCTTCGGCCACCCCTACAATCCCCGAGT